ATGAACAAACAGGTGCCCGGAGGACCCAGGGAGTGGGTGCATGGGGATGGGTGGACGGGCGGGCGGGCGGACGGATGTGTGAACACAGGGGCCTGTGGAGGAGAGCTGGGCACCAGGGCCTGCTTCCCCTCTTGCTCCTGCTCTGACCTCCCTGGACCAACTGGGGAGATGACCCAGGAAAGAGCAGGTACTGACAATGAGAGCTGGAACCCTGAGTCTCGTCTGACCTCTGTCCTGCCTCAGAGCACTCAGCTAGGTGTGCATACACCTCAGGACAGCCGTCTCTTTCATGTCACCCAGAGTCAGAAGGAACCTCACTTCTCTGCCTCCGCCACGACGTCTATAAATAGGCAGTGTTTACTGGAGGGCCAGTGCCACCTCGAGCAAGGCCAGGTCCAGGCAGGGCCTGGCGGTGGCGGGGGGAGGGTGGGGAGGAGCCATCCGCGGGCCTCGCAGGCCTCCTGCCCGTTGCCAGCAGCCGTGTGTGGGTGAGCAGGCCCCTCACCTGGGTCTTGCACAGCAGGGCTCCTGAGCAGTGGAGAGAAAGGGAGAGGCAGAAAGGTGCAGATGGAATGTTCTACAGGCCCATCCTTGGCTCCCGGGACAAAGGCACAGCGGGAGCCCACAGGGCATCACAGAGCTCACGACCCCCTGCCTCCCTGTGCTGCTGTATCTGCACCTCAGTGTTCTCATCCAGCAAGTGGGGCAATACTCCCACCAGTCTCGTGGCTGAGGTGAGCGCATGCGTGTGCAAGCTCCTCGCTCCCGGTGGCACGAGCCTGCTCTGCCCCTCAGGGCCTGCTTCCAGACGCCCACCCGGTGCCGGGCCTGCAGGTGTGGGGGGCATGGGGGTACAGACACAGTTCGCCTGGGGTACCGGCCGTGCCGGCCCAGATGGAGGCACAGGAGCGGGGACACAGCTCAGGGAGGCAGTGGGGGGCAGAGGGGAGGGCCAAGCCTCCCTGGAGGGTGAGCACCTGCCAGGAGGATGCAAACAGCACCCCCCGCCCCAAGGAATACTCCCGCTGGGCATCCTCCCGCTGGGCATCCTGCACCAGAGGTGCGGACGGGTGCGGACGGGTTGGCTGAGTTCCGCTGTCCCTACTTATGCTGGAGCGGGACCAACTGTCTGGGTTTCCAGCTCCCCTCCGGCCTCAAGGCCAGGCCTTATCTTGTCATCTATAGCCGGTCCCCAGAGCCTCAGGGGTGACGCAGACCGGGCAGGGGCAGGCACACAGCAAGAGTGTAAACTCTGTATTGGAAAGGACACCCAGGAGTGCCAGAAAAAAACCGAAACCTGCTCTCCACGGCGGGGAAACCCCGTTCAGGCTCCACGTGCAGACGAGAACCTGGAGATGCCCCTCTACACTCACTTCCTGCAGGAGGGACCTTGAGCAAGGAACCTGCTGGAGCCCCAGCACTTTTTCCCAGAGACTGTCCCCCCCCACCCCCCCAAGCCGCAGACCCTGCCTCCTAAGCCAGTCACCCCGGTGTCCAGGGCCACCGACTGGCTTCGGATGCTCCCCAGGGGCCCGGAGAAGCACTGCTCCTCCCCAACTGAGGCTGAAACCAAAAACCCACGTCTCCTTCCCCCTCCGTCCCTCCCCTACGCAGACCAGTGTTACTGGTCCTCCCGGCCCCTGCAGATGAGATCTGAATTCTAAGCAGGGTTTCTTCATCCTTCGCGGTCCTAACGGGGGTGACAACTGAGACCACAGACGTTAAGAGTCAAAACAGAAGCGTCATGGAGATTTCCTTCTGCATTCAGAGGAGGGCTGGTCGTGGGGCTGTTTGGGTCCAGAGCACCTCCGGTAGGAAGGTTACAGGTTTGCCCGGGGGCACAGGGGTCCCGTAGGCCTTTGCGCTGAGCTGATAAATCCCAGGCAGGCCCTGGGCCTGAGGGACAGAGGCTTCCAGCCATCCTGCTAAGCAGACAAGCACCACGGGGTATGGCGGGGGGCTCCCATCTTCAACACCGGCCACTTAGACGTCACCACCACCACATCCCCGCAAGTGGCTTCAGGTGCCTCAGGCGGGAAGGAAGGGAGCCCGGGAAGCCACAGCCGGCCGCACCAAAGGTGCCCCTTCTGGGCCCGCTGGGCCTGTGTTCCCCTCCTTCGGCCCGCAGTGCCTGTGCCCGGGCTCCCCGGAGAGCCGGGCAGGGGGCCGGCGTGCTCTCCCTTCCCAGCCTGGCACGGAGGTGCGGCCACGGATCCGGCGCAAAGTGCTAATTACATTGTTTTTAAAATCCATTTCAGAGAGTGAGCTAGTAACTGGATCGGAGAAGCGGCATTCACTTACAGACCACGAGCGCCACTGGTTCCTGCCCGCCTCGTTGACTGGAGCTCAAAGTTGCAGCATGCTCGAGAAATCGCTCAAGGTTAGATTAAAAATAAGAACACCCACGAAGATTCACCTGACTCATTAATATCACTGTCCGATAGGAGACAGTTCCTTGGAGGGACTGGCTTGGGGCTGGTTTTTGTTCTAGGCCTAGGAGGACCTTAATTTGCATTTATATTAAAAAAGAAGAAAACAAACAGAATTAACTAGAAAGGTGCTTTGTTTCCTGTAAATTTGAGCTCTTCTGCTAAACAGCTTCCTAGGGCAGACAGCGGATTCGGGCCTCTGTCAAAGAGCGTGGATTCACACCTACTAAGCGCAGGGCGCAGTGCCAGGTGTCGGCAAGCACCTAGGAGCCCGCCAGCCCTCAGCTTCAACCTGGCAGGTGAGCACTGCGCCTGGCTCCTGCCACAGGTGCGGAAACCGCGCCGGGAGAAGAGAAATGACCTGCCTGCAGTTTTCCAGTATGACCCGACTCGGGTCGCGAGCCAGCTCCCTGCGCTCCAAGCTCAGGTCAGGGCAGCTGAGTCAAGGCAGTGTGTTCTTCCTTGTCCTGACATACGTATTCCAACCTTTCTTTCCAGAAACTCAGGTGGAAACTCAAGGACGGAAGGGAGAAAAATCCACAGTCATCAGACGCCCCTCTGGTCCTGGACGGACAGGAGTCCCACCTGCGCGCCTCGTCAGACTAACACCCTCCATTTGGCCACATGTTCCTTGACTTTTCTCTTTGGAGCCTTGAGCGTTTGAAGCATACGCCGGGGACTACCAGTAAGGATCAATAAACACACCCTGATGGGAACTTTATCAGTCTCACTATTTACTTTTTCAGGTAAATGGGAGCATCTTGGGGTTTGGTTTTCCCTCCAATCCTCTCCTCACTGTTGTGGCTCGGCTCGTGAGACCAGCCACAGGTTTCAGGTGCTCGTGTCACTCCTGGGGCCAGTGTTCTGGCAGATGTCACCGGCTCTGGAGCTAGATCACTAAAGGCATGTTGAGGGAATGAGGGGTCTCTCCCCCAGGGCAGTCAGTCGTGGAGGCAAATTTTCCGCTCTCAGGTTCTCAGCAAACAGGTCCCTGTATCCCCGGGATCGCCACCATGTGCCTCTGTACGTTACGGCCACAGCTCAGGCTGCGAGTGGCAAAGTCAAGGATGACGGTAATGACCGCCTGGCCCTTTCAGGCGCTGGAAGCACAGGGTGGGGAAGGAAGGACTTCTCTGTGTTTTGGCCGCTGGGCCAAGCGCATGGGGCAAGCGGGAGCAGAGCTAGTTATGTAGACAACAGAAGAGCAATTTCCTTCCAAAAACATAAAAACCTGCACCAATGAATTAAACATTTCAAACAAGATGACTCTCTACAAAGTCTTCTCAACCAAGAAGCAAAGACAGGCCGCCCTGTGCTGGCGCTTCCTGTTGCATATGGCACTGAGCAATCCTGCTTTTTCAGCATGCAGAGCTTTCCAGACAAAGAAAAATAGCAAGGGGAAAATTAGAGAAGGAGGTCCAGAGGACTCGGGGCGGAGGGCGGAGAGAAGGGCGAGCAGGAACGAGGTCTCTTCTTACAGCGAGGCGGCACAGGGGACTGGACGGGCACAGAAAAGAGGCCCCCGGAGCCAACACGGTGGCCCTGACAGGTGCAAGGAGATGTCTGTGCAGAGGCAGGGTGCCGCGTGGGGGAAAGTTGCAAACCACAGAGACACCACCCTACCTACTGCCATGTCCACCGGGAGGAAGTGACCTGCTCCGGTTCCCAAGGTCTCAAAGTGTCACACCTGCGGGCGCTCCAAACTCCCTGACCTCAGCGGGGGCATTGCCCTAGGCACCTACTAGAGACTTCGCTCTGTGGCCAGCGCCCTGGGGAGAGGACCCCACAGGACTCCTCAGGGAGCACCAACTGGACTCTTTCCCCAGACCAGGGCTGAACCTCCCCAGTTTCTGGGCAACAAGCGCACTTGCCTTACCCACTGTCACAGCCTGGGGGTGGACAGGTCCTACCCTGCCCCCGCCCTCCCCTGCCCTCTCAGAGCCTGTCACCTGGCTGCCACCCCCACCCCAATCACCAGAGAACAAACTCCCCCCGCCCCCATCCCCCAGGTCCTGGCACGACCAGGCACCAGAATCCTAAGAGGAGCCAAGGAGGGAGGAAAGCTAAAATCTGGGCTCAGAGAAGGCTGGAGGCTTGCGAGGGTCCCCGGCCGCCTAAGTCCCTCTCTGCGCCGCGGAGCCAGGCCAGCCCTCTCCAAGTCCCGGAGAGGTAGTAAGTGTAAGGCTTGGAACCCCGCGCAGCCCAGCCCGCGCTGGGGCGGTGGGTGGGTGGGTGTCTGCTACGGGATTATTCTTAGCGCTCCACTCTCTTCGCAAAAGTGGCGCCTCCGCCCTCCCGGCTCCGGCACGCTCGCTCGGGGCTCGCACGCCCGGCCCAGACACCGGCGCGGAGCGGAGCTCCGGGTGGGGTCCGCGAGGGGTGAGGCTCTCGGAGGCGCAGGAGAGGCGGGGGCTCCGGAGAGAGGAGGGGGCGCGGCGGGAGGGGCCCCCCGGCGACAGGCTGCGTTTAACCCTCGGCGCCCCACACCCAGCCCTGCGCCGCGCGCTCAGCCGCCTCCCCGGACTCCTCCCGGGGCGCCGGGAGCCCGGCGGCGGCGCGCCCAGCCCTTACCTATGGTGGTGATGACCGTGATGGCAAAGTAGAAGGAGCCGGCGAATTTCCACTGGACGCCGGCGCGGTGCGGCTCCGACTGCAGGATCACCAGCTCCAGCTGCCGGTAGTCCTCGGCGCTGATGTTGTACTTCCCCTTGATCCGGATCTCCTCGGCTTTGAGTTTCTCCTCCTCGCGCATCTCGTGGTCCGACTCGAGGGCGTCGAAGACGGCGGCGCCCACCAGCAGGTAGGTGAAGGTGCAGACGATGAGGGACAGAGTCCGCACGTTCTGCCTCTTCATGGCCGCCAGCAAGGAGCCGGCGCGGGGGGCATGTCCCGCAGGCTCGCAGCCGCGCGCGTCCCACTGCAGCGCCCGGCGGCCGCCGCCGCCTCCTCCGCCGCCGCCGCCGCCTCCAAGTTGTAAGCGGCGGCGGCAGCAGCAGCAGCAGCAGCAGCAGCAGCAGCAGCGGGGAGGCGGGGGGCGGGGAGGCTGGGGGGGCCCCCCTCCGCTGGGGCCGCCACCGCGAGGCGGCTGGCGGGGCAGGGGCGGCGCGGGCCCGGGCTCGGGCGAGAAGGCGGACAGGCACAGGAGGCTGCTCGAGCGCCGGGGCCAGGCGTCCGGGAGCCCCGACACCCTGCGCCAGACCCGGCCGAAGCAGCCCGCCCCACTGCGCAGGGCCATGCACGGCGGCCCCGCTGGGCACCGCGCGGGCCGCGCTGCCCTCCGCACCCCGCCCCCCGCTCCCGCCGGAAAAGCAGGGGCGGGAGCGGGAGCCGGAGCGCGGCCGGAGGGCGGCCGCCGGGGCCCGCGCCCCTCCGGGTCGGGCTCCCGGGCGGCGGCGCCCAACTAGGAGCCCGCAGGTCTGCGCGCGCCTCGCGGGACCTCCTTCCCCTTCAGCCCTCCTCGCCCCCCCCCCGAGGGGGGGGTGGAAAAGTTTGCGAAGTGGCGGCGTCTCCGGAGTCCCCAGCAGGCGGGGAGGGGGCCGAGCAGGTGCAGCGGGCGGGGCCGCCCGATGCCCGAAGGTCCGAGCGCCCCGCGCCCACCCGGGCGCTCGGGGACGCGTTGGGGTCCCCGCCGGGCGTCGGCCGGTCCGCGAAGTTTGCTCGGCTCAGCCGCCGAGGCGCGGGAGCGGGGCGCGGCCCCA